TGAGTTCGAGCCCCGTGTCGGGCTCTGTGCTGACAGCTCAGAGCCTAGAGCCTGCTTCGGATTCTGTATGTGTGTGTGTCTCTCTCTGCCCCTCCCCCACTGTACTCTGTCTCTTTCTTTCTCAAAAATAAATAAGTATTTAAAAAATTTAAAACATGAATATAGACATTTTCTGTACAACACTATTCTTATACCTTACAAGGTTAATGGCATCTTCAGTTGCTGTTTTAGAGACTGTGTGTGTGTGTGTGTGTGTGTGTGTGTGTGTGTTGTGTGTTGTGCCGGAGAATTTTGTTTTTTTGAAGTGTCAGAGGTAGGGGCACCTGGGTGGCTCATTTGGTTAAGTGTCCAACTTCGGCTCAGGTCGTGATCTCGCGGTTTGTGGGTTCGAGCCCTGTGTCAGGCTCTGTGCTGACAGCTCGGAGCCGGGAGCCTGCTTAAGTTTCTGCGTCTCTCTCTCTCTCTCTCTCTCTCTGTCTCTGCCCCTCCCCCCTTCTGTCTCTCAAAAATAAATAAACATAAAACATTAAGAAAAATTAAGTGTCACAGGTATACAGCATGGATTCAGAATCCAGCTAAGGGGAATGGGGGGTCAGCAGGTGAAAGCCTCTTTCCAGTTCAGGTGAGCCTGAACTGGTTTGGTGCCTCCAGCCCTGAACCAGGATCGATGTTCAATAAAGTTCAAGGGAATGTCTCTGGACCGGCCAGACGGTGCTGGTTAGCGGCTGGTGGTCACCAGCAGCCCACGTTAATGGGCTCTTCCTCTTCAGCTCCCAGCCCTTTGGCGTCAGCGGCTCGTTCCAGCGTCAGCACTGCCCTGTGGGGCCTCACCCTCTCTATTTTAGAGGCGACTCAGACTGGCTGGCTAAGGCCAAGCCAGAGACAAGTCCAGGCCCAATGTCCGAATCCATCCTTTTGTGGGACAAGGGAGAGTTACCCTTGCTTTGCGGGTTGTACAGAAACCTGCAGGGGAGTGGCAGTTTGTACCCGACTGTGACTGCGGGGGTCCATCCTGCCGTTGGTGGGCGGACCCCTCAAGCCCGTACACTCAGGTTCTTTGGGACAAAATGGCCCTTTGCTTGGGATGACTGGGGAACCACAGCCTATCCAGTGACCGCTAGTCTATATTTTGGACGGGGATGACTCATAAAACTCAGGATTTGACACTTTCGGTTGACCGGTCCATTTCCCAAGAGGTAGCTGGCTAGTTGAGAGGCATAAGGTTCCTGGTGTCACACTGGAACGTTCTGGGCCACAGGCCGAATCCTGGATACCATTGAGGACGGGTTGGAGCGGATGGCCACGGACGAGCAGAGCACTGGAACAGCCCCACTGTTTAGGAACCAAACAAACAGTGGATCTGTTGTTGACCCAGAGATCAGGCTGGACAGAGTTTTGTTTCTGAAGGCGCATTCCAAGAAAGAAAAAAAGCAAGCAGTGTGGGAAGGTCAGATTTGCTTAGTCTGGTGATATTTTTTGTTGCTTGGTTGCTGTATTGGTTTGTGTTTTTTTTGTTTGTTTTGTTTTAAGTAGGCTCCATGCCCAGTGTGGGTCTTGAACTCACAACCCTGAGATCAAGGGTAGTGTGCTTTACCGGCTGAACTAGCCAGGTGTCCGGGCGCCCCGTGCTTGGGTTTCGTTTTGTGTTTGGTTCTGAGAACTCAGATACATGCCGACCCACAGATGGGGCTGCCCCGTCCCAGCAGGACTCCCAAGTTAACTGTGGTGTCGGTTCGTGTCCCTTGTTATGTCAGCACAAATGGCTGTCTGTGCCCTGCCCGGAAGGAGGGTTTTTTCTGGGTCAGCTTAGCTCTTGGGGGCTCCGTCAAGCTCTTGTATCCAGGGACCAGCTCTGTCCCCTTCTGAGTGACAGGTCTCCAGCAGGGCTCCTGCCGTAGACGCCAGTTTCTAAGGTGCAGGTGCTACCTTGACTGCTGCCTGACCCATGACCTATCGGGGTCCACCAGGCCTCAAGCAGGGACAAACCCGTTCCTTGTCCCAGGGGGTATCCCATTCCGTCCCCCTCAGATCCCTGCGTCAGGGCACCCAGTGCTGCCGGGAGGGCCCCAGGAGGGGTCCCCACCCTGCAGACCCCACACGGTCAGTGTGCAGGCACTGGTTGAAGACACGGAGGGAGGAGGAGAGAGCAAGTCCCCTCTCATTTCAACTCGAGCCAGTGCTCCGAGAGGGACACGTCGGGTGGCATGGTCCCCACCTCTGGGAGTTTGGCGTGTGCTGGAAAGTTGGAACCCAGTGTGGCCACAGTACCCCTGCCTCCTGCAGCCCTGCAGACCACCCCACAGCCCCAGCCGTTCCCAGCCGGAGGGGCTCCTGCCCTCAACCAGCCCTTGGCTGGCACTTGGCCTGTTTAGCAGCACCTGGTCCCATGGCCAGCCTTCAGAGGGGCCCATGTTGCTGAGTAGAGCGTGCTGGGGTTATGTGTCCAGGGCTTAGAGGGTGAGCGGCATCCCCACCATCCCAGTGGTCAAGCCTGGAAGTGGAAATCAGCCCTGGCAGCTGGCACATTAGGACATGTCCTTCCTGGAGACCCACACAGGAACGCCTGAAGTCTCATGGGAACCGGGCCCTAACAGTGTCAGGGCAACAGGAGCAGGTGACCTTGAAGCATTGTCACAGGCCCTCACTTGGGCTGGCTGAGTGGCGAGGGCTGAACTTCCGGGTCCCTGAGACCTTTGAGCATCACCAGGACTGTCTGGGTGCACACTCACAGAACGGTTGCTAGAGTCAGTTGGGGCCAGTAGGGAATGACAGTCCTCTCCGGGGTCCCGTCCCCCAACATTTATTATGAAAAAGTTGGAACACGTCGAGGAACGGAATGTGTGGGCGGTAAGTTCCCACACTGTCTCTTATCTGCCACCCGGGTCCCGTGGTTACTAGCACCGTGTCCATGTTTGCCTCCTGAGTAGTGAAATCTCTCGAACCACTTAAAGTTCGTTTCACACCCCACGATGCCTCTGTCCAGCCTATTTCAGTGCGCATCTCCCAAGGCTTCCTACGTAGTTACACCCTTTCATGTCCAGGGCAGCCAGTAGTAGCTTCGCAATACTGTCTGCTCTCCAGCCCCTGTTTATATTTCCCCAGGTTACTTTTGATTTGTTCTCTTTTCCCAATGGGGGTTTACACGTTGCATTTGGTAGTGGGTCTCCTTGTTTTTTTTAGTCTACTTTTGTTCCTTCCCTTTCTTTCTCTTTCTTCCTTCCTTCCTTCCTTCCTTCCTTCCTTCCTTCCTGTCTTTCTTTCTTTCTTTCTTTCTTTCTCTTTCTCTCTCCCTCCCTCCCTCCCTCCCTCCCTCCCTCCTTCCTTCTCTCTCTCTCTCTCTCCCCCTCACACACTCTCTCTTTCCACAACACTGATCTCTGGAAGAGACCAGGCCAGTTGTCTTGTAAGATGCCCCACATTCCGTGTTTGTTGGCTGTCGTGGTGCCGTTAAACTGAAGCCTGTGTGCTGAGTTCAGGCCCAGCGTTTTGGGCAGAACCCTGAGTGGTCAGTGTATTCTACCTCGTGGTTACAGGGCGGGCTCTGTCACTGGGGGCACGTGGGGCTGCTGGACCTGGGTTGGCCGGTTAGGCTTTTTCCGGGGGTCAGCAAATCCTGGAGATGCAGGCGCTTTGTCAGAATCCAGCCTTCCTGCCTACCTTCCGTTAATTGACACAAAGAGGCCGCTCCATCAGCAGCCTGGACTGAACATACTTTCCTGACTTAAGAAAAAATTTTTTTAATGTTTTATTTGTTTTTGAGAGAGAGACAGAGTGAGACAGAGTGTGAGTGGAGGAGGGGCAGAGAGAGGGAGACACAACAATCCGAAGCAGGCTCCAGGCTCTGAGCTATCAGCACAGAGCCCGACACGGGGCTCGGACTCAGGGACTGTAAGATCATGACCTGAGCCGAAGTCAGACACTCAACTGACTGAGCCACCCAGGCGCCCCTTTCCTGGTCTTTTAAAAGGGTTGTTCGCAAGGCGCCAGGCTGGCTCAGTCAGTGGAGCACATGTGACTCTTCATCTCGGGGTTGTGAGTTCAAGGGCCATGTTGGGTGTGGAGATTACTTAAAAAAAAATATTTTTTAAAGGCGCCTGGGTAGCTCTGTCAGTTAAGCATCTGACTCTTGATCTCAGCTCAGGTCTTAATCACAGGGTGGTGAGTTCAAGCGTCACATTGGGTGTGGAGGTTACTTACAAAACAATTTTTTTTTTAATAGGAATGGAAGATCCTTTGTAAAATAAATAGGGGCACCTGGGTGACCTCGATGGCTCAGTCGGTTAAGTGTCTGACTCTTGATTTCGGTTCAGGTCATGATCTCACAGGTCCTGAGATGGATCCCTGCGTCGGGCTCTGTGCTGATAGTGTGGAGCCTACTCGGGATTCTCTTTCTCCCTTTCTCTCTGTCCCTCCCCTGCTCGGGAACATGAGCTGTTCCTCAAAATAAACTTAAAACTTTCTTAAAATAAATAAAATACTTACAAAAATAAAAAGAGTTGTTAGCAACTCATGACCCCTGATGTGAACTTCAGCCTGTCTCACGGGCTCTCTTCCTGCCCAGTCTTTGTCTGCCGGGGCGGGTTGGGGGGTGGGGAACAGCTCAGCCAGCAAGCGCCACTTCCCCTGGAAACCTAGCCATGCAGCCCCAGAGGGGGCCAGGGGCAGGAGAAGTCGGGTGTGAGCCCCTGAGCTCTCCGCGGTGGAGACTCAGCAACGGCTGGCTGGGGTTGGTGGGGGGGGGGGGTGGCGGTGACAGGCAAGAGGAACCGGGGAGAAGCAGGCAGGTGTGGGCGCTCCGGGTCCTGGTCTGCAACCCGGGGGCAACTGGCACCTGTGCTGGGACTGTTGTGAGGGACGGAAACGCTCGGTGCGGTTACGAGGAGACGTCCGCCCACGGGGGATGAGACTAGTTTTCCCATCTTGCTGCCTCACAGGTGACAGGTGGGGCTGGCCGGTGAAGGGGTGCGGCTGCCCTCCTGACGCTGCCTCCCACCCTGCAGGTGTGAATGACAGAGGTGGTGCCGTCCAGCGCCCTCAGCGAGGTCAGCCTGCGCCTCCTCTGCCACGATGACATAGACACCGTGAAGCATCTGTGCGGCGACTGGTTCCCCATCGAGTAAGTCAAGCGGCGCCGGCCGCCCCCCGCTGCAGAGGGTCGGGGTGGGGAGCGGGCAGGGGGACGCGCACGAAGACTTGCTGCGAAGGCCAGGACGGCCTGGCAGCGCCGTGGCGGCCCGGGGTCACATTGCCTGTCGCTAGGCCTCGGGCCCTGCCTGCCATCGGGCTCCCTCCACCTCACCGTGTCCCTTGTGCGGAGAGTTCTGCCCTGGGCTTTACGGAGAATCTTTAGCTGAAAAGCTGCTGAGCGCAGTGCCGGTGACGATTCAGAAAGCGGAGAAGCAGCTTAAGTGTAACGCGAGGCCTCGGCTGCACACGTTGGGCTCTGGGCCTGCAAGTACTGTACTATTCAGCCGGGGAAAACCCTGTGGAAGAGAAGAGGTATGTTGGTCGATGAGGGGTTTTTTTGTGTTTGTTTTTCAAATGAGCCGGCAGATGAGAAAAGTAGAGTAGGAGACAGCACTGTGCCCATCCTCCTGCTGTTTAAAGACCTGTACACGATAAAAGCCTGCGAGGTCATACAGCACGTCACAGGGTGTTGTCAGTGGTTTGTGGGGAGGTGGTTGCAGCTGCAGCTTCGTCTGTCCATCTGTCTGTCCTGCTCCTCTAACTGCTCGTGCAGCGGTTGCGGTGGGAGAGATAGGTGCAACTTTGTATTTTACAGGTTCCCGGCTGGGAGCTGGGTAAGTGCCAGGGGTGAACTCGCAGCGAGCACTGTGCGGGGAGCTGTGCTGACAGTAAATCCTTAGTTCTCATCGCAAGGATTTATCATTAAGAAAAAAAAAAAAAAAACTTTTAAAAATTGAAAACGAACTAGATCTTGCATTTCCATGAGTCCCACCCTCTGATGGGTTGTGTCACCGGCCACGTGCGCGGGGAGGGAGGGGAAGGGCGAGCGTCAGCCTTCTCGGGGTGTGGGCGCAGCGGCTTCAGGGGTCACCGGGGGTGCCGTCCTTTCACCCCGCGGTCCCCTGCGCGGGTCAGACCCTGCACCAGGTGCAGGTGGAGCCGTGCTGGGCTGGAGCCTCTGCCTCTCCTCACAGCTTCCTGCGCCCGAGGCCTCAGGTTCCAATGACGGTGAAGCGAGCTGCAGTCCCATGGGCTGCGTGGTGGTGGCAGCTCCGTGTCCTGGCTGCCACACCAGCCGAGCGCTCTGGGGTCAGAAGATGACGGTGCGGGGAGGACCTGAGGAGGGGTGTGGGCGATGCTCAGGTCCCATCGAATGTGCCAGTGGGTGGTCAGTGGCCTCTCTGCTATGTCACCGCGTGGGTAGGGCACCCTTTTCCAGCTCTGGGTCTCAAGAAAGGCATCTCAGGGTTACCTGCTGTCTGTCCCAAGTTAAAAAATGAATGTACACCCCCATCAGCCCTCCCAACTGTGTCTCCTGGCTGTGGCTGAGTCTGCCTTTTCATTACTGCTCCCAGGGCCTTTGCACAAAATGTTCTCTTTCCTGCTCCCCCGGGCGGGGAGTCTTGTGAACAGCCCCCGGCACCCCTGGCCACACTCTGCCCTTGAGGGCTCGTCCCCATCGCTACCTGGGAGGTGCGGTGAACCCAGATGCACTTGGCTGTGAACTTGGCCCACACCTCCAGTCTTGAAGGGGTCTCGTAGAATTCTTGGAAATGACCCAAGTGTCTGAGGGTCATCTCTTCCAGCTGCCCCTGCACGTCATGCTCCCGTGGAGAGAACGTCATTGGGAGTTTTTTTCCTCTCATCTCTTACGTGAGGATAGAAAAATCATTTTTCGGGGCGCCTGGGTGGCGCAGTCGGTTAAGCGTCCGACTTCAGCCAGGTCACGATCTCGCGGTCCGTGAGTTCGAGCCCCGCGTCGGGCTCTGGGCTGATGGCTCAGAGCCTGGAGCCTGTTTCCGATTCTGTGTCTCCCTCTCTCTCTGCCCCTCCCCCGTTCATGCTCTGTCTCTCTCTGTCCCAAAAATAAATAAACGTTGAAAAAAAAAATTAAAAAAAAAAAAAAAGAAAAATCATTTTTCCTGTCAGAAATCCCCAGTGCCGTCTAGACAGATTCCTGCTTTAAGAAGACCATTTGGTGTAGATGGAGTGGTGGACAGACAGGCTCCTTCTCAGTCATGGGGCAGTCGGCAGAGCGGCCCCGGGTCCCCCGTGGTTCCGCAGCCAGAAGCCCAGCATCAGCGTGTTCACCTGACCTTGTCCTCCCCCTCAGGTACCCAGACTCATGGTATCGTGATATCACCTCCAATAAGAAGTTCTTTTCCCTCGCCGCCACCTACCGGGGCGCCATCGTGGGAATGATAGTAGCTGAAATAAAAAGTAGGACCAAGATACACAAGGAGGTGAGTATGTGTGGTGAGGAGCTGGTGGTCCCTGTCGCCGGCCAGGCCTGCTGGGGCTTGTGACCGAAGCACGCGCCCTGCTCTGTGGCCCTTTCTCCCGGGAGCCCAGACCAAGTATGAGCCTCGGGGGTGTACGTGGCACCGTTACCCACGCGTTAAAAGAAGGACCTACCGCAGGCCTCCTAACAACTGTCATTTCAAAGTGGGGGCGGGTGTAAGTGATGTCCTGAGAATCCCCGGAGTTGTCAGAGGCTCTGGAAAGATCTGTGACTTGTACTGGCAGCAGTGTCACGGAACTGCCACCTCTGCCGTGGTTGGTTGAAGGACACGGTCAGTTCCAGATAGAGGTTAGGGAACATGGAGAATTTTCTTTCATCCGGCTTCACAGACCCCTCCCCGATCTGAGAACTGGGGGGTCTGTGGGCCCCGTGTCAGCAAGCTCTGCTCTGAACGCACAGTGCGAGGCCACAGCCACAAATACATTGTTGCACGTCGTCACGTTGGATCAAGATTGTGCCTAATGATTTTGGTCATCTTAGCGACTGAGCTGTGTTTCCCACATGCGTATTTACTCCAAGGACAGGAAGGAACCCGCTGACAACCTGCATTGGTTCTGTCTGTTCAGCTTCGGTTACTTCTTTAAAAGTAGAAGAGGGACAGCTCCCTTTTACAGACCCGACCCACTCGAGCAGACCCCATCTTGCTTGTGACTAGATTGTGGCAAAGGTAGTTTCTGTTAGGAGTGACTTTCTATCCCAGCTTCCTCCTGGGCTTTTTGCTTCTGGTTCGTCTTGCACGGTGGCCGGATTCATGACTCTCCTGGCCCCAAATGCCATCCCCGGAACCAAGGAGCACGCATGGGTTGGCCTGCCATGTCACTCTGCCCGGTGTGGGCCACACGGGGTGCTGGGGGGGGGCACTCGAGCCCCCACCGCCTTTACTCAGAGACCACCTGGGGGCAGTGTAAGGTCCTTGAGACAAACCTTTTCAGACCTCATCCGGCTGTCTTGTCCCAAGTGCCCAGTACGTGCCCACACCACGCAGTTGTTCCCTTGTTACCGCTGTAACCTCACACCCTATGGTCCTGCCACCCCCACACGTCCCCAAGAGGAGCGGCTTTTTGTGTGTGTCCTCAGTTTAGCCATTTGCGCCGCAAAGCCTCGCACCCTCTTGTCTCTGTGTGGGGGGGGGGGGGGGGGGAGCCTGTCCATCATCTTTGCTCTGTCCCCTCCTACCCCAGCACCCCCACGGGGGTTGTGGCGGGAGAGTCGGCCCGTGGGATGTGCCAGCACCAGGACCAGGCCCCTCAGCCGTTAACCTGATTTTCTTTCTGACTTTTTCTTCAGGATGGAGATATTCTAGCCTCCACCTTCTCTGTTGACACACAGGTCGCATACATTCTGAGTCTGGGAGTGGTCAAGGAGTTCAGGAAGCACGGCATCGGTAAGGCACAGCCGTGCTCACAGTGTTTGGCGTGTGCTCCAGCCACCGTGTCCAGTCATGTCCCATGTGCTGGTGACGTGCCTGTAAATGTCCCTCGTCCCGCTCTTCCCCCTGTCCTGCGTGGACTTCCAGCCTCCCACCCCTCCCAGCAGGTCCCCGGCCCCACCTCCCTCCACCCCATTGGCCTTCGACCCCTGCTCCTAGCACCCAGTTGCCAGGTGCAAACAGCAAAGGCCGTCTGGGTGATGGCTTCATTCCCAAATATGACCTTTTTTAAAAAGTTTATTTATTTATTTTGAGAGAGGGACAGAGCGTGCGGGGGTGGGGGGTGGCAGCAGAGAGAGAGAGAGAGAGAATCCCAAGCACGCTGTGCGATGTCAGCGCAGAGCCTGATGCGGGGCTCAAACTCAGGAACCACGAGATCATGACCTGAGCCCAAGTCAGAAGCTCAACCAACTGAGCCATCAGGCGCCCCCCAAACGATCAGATTCACAACACTCCCAGATGTCCTCGTCGGGGAATGGGCACCTGTCACCACACACACAGTTTATGTCAGGTCATGAGGTATTGCTGATTAAGAGTAGAAAACGATTGACAGCCAGTCCTAGCTGCCATGTACCAGATGCCCGTCATGTGCAGGGGGCTGTGCCCCAGGTGCCGCTCCAAGCCCCTGCTCTGCCCCAAGCCCACAGGCAGCAGTCTCCCTTTGTGACTCAGGCCTGTCCGTTCTACCTTTTCCCTCCACTCAGGTTCGCACTTGGTGATGTCTGGAAGGTTAGTGAGTCTCCGCCATGGGCCCAGCCCCACTGAGGGAACTGCCTGACCCCCATATGCAGTTCCGGGTGCCTGATGGTCTGCAGCTAACGAGCCCCATCTGGCCGTGGCATTCTGGGGGCTTTGACAGAGCGGTTGCGGGAGTTCCATCTGGGATACCATGGCAGAGATCTCTGTAGATCTGTAGAGATCTCTGGCAGTCTCACTTCCTCATCTGCCTCCTGCTCCCTGCCTGCCCTGCCGTGCGTGACTGTCGTCCCTTCTCCTGCAGGTTCCCTCTTACTCGAGAGTTTAAAGGATCACATATCAACCACCGCCCAGGACCACTGCAAAGCCATCTACCTGCACGTCCTCACCACCAACAACACAGCAATAAACTTCTACGAAAACAGAGACTTTAAGCAGCATCACTATCTCCCCTATTACTACTCCATCCGAGGGGTCCTCAAAGATGGCTTCACCTACGTCCTCTACATCAATGGTGGCCACCCTCCCTGGACAATCCTATATCCTTTACTTCTCAGGGGTGAGGGATATGGCTTCCTAGCCACAAGGGCGGCTCGCAGGGCCAGGGCCCATGCACCAGATGGAGCCGCCGTTGTCTTCCCATGACTCAGGAGGCCAAGCTCACGGGACGTGCTGTGGGTAGATCTGGTTGTACTCAAGTGTTTCTCAGACTTCACCCGTCACGAGGTGTGGGTTTTAACCCCCTTGGCCAACGATCCATGCTTCCAACAGATACCGATTAGGAGCCTCCTTTTCCAGGTGCACAGGAGATGCACGCAGCTGTCAACACAACAGTGGGTCCCCTGCCGTCAGGGGGCCCGGCCCGTGTGCCGTCAGTCAGGGGAGGAAACAAACAAGGTGAAAAGAATTGCTGGCTGTTTGCAGCCCTGGGGTTCAGACCTCCCTTTCCTGAAGTGTGTCACCCAGAGCTGTGTCCCCCCTCACCCCCCACACGCCGCTCCCTCCTCTTTCGCCCTCTCTGGGCAGAATGGGCAGTTGGGAGGCCAGGAGGCTTCCTAATAGTTCAGGATGTGGCTCCAGAATGCTCTGTGTGAGGGTGAGCCAGCAAGAAGCTGATGAAGCGAGCGAGGCTAGGGTTTATCCATTTTACGGGGACGTAAACAGGAGGGAGAAGCCTGGCCTGCAGGCCTGCAGGCTCCCCATGCATGTACACGTGGGCCTCTTGCAGTTGTCCGGGAGGTCGGCACCGTGACCCCCTCCTTGTCCCAGGGCTCTGCCGTTCCGATGCCTGAGTACGGGGTCAAGTTGGGACAGTTACTCTCCTGCCAGACCTCTCCCCCTGGCGCCCCGTCCCTTTCTACGTGCCTGAGCTCTGCTCACCCAGGAGGTGCTCTCCGACCCAGTGCCACCCTTTATTTCTTTGCACGGTGGAGCCCCTCTGGCTCACGAGGCTTTCCAGCACCCTACAGAGGCTTAGCGGGCTTTTGGCCTCCTTCCTGAATGGCGGCGTCTGCATGCAGCCCTGCGGCTTACCGCGTGGGCCTGCTGACCGTGCCGCCAGGGGTGCGTGGGCACACAGGGCAAGTCGATCTTCCTTAACGGAGCTGCACGGACTACATTCAGCACCTGGGCTCCGCTCTAGCGAACCTCAGCCCCTGCTCCATCCCGCACAGGCTCTACCGCCAGGCCCACAGCCTGCTCTGCAGCTTCCTGCCGTGGTCCAGCATCTCCACCAAGGGTGGCCTCGAGTATAGCCGGACCATGTGACGCCGGCTGGGCGGCCTCCGCCAGGCCCCACCCTTCGGCACCCCGCAGAACCCGCCTTCCTGGCCGTCCGACTTCCGTCCTCTGCAACAGAGCTGGTGGCTGCTCGCCGGGCCCGTCGGCCTGCCCCAGCTGCAGGCCCGGTGCTACGCGGGCTCGGACCAGAGCGTCGTGGGGCATGCCTGGTCTCGGACAGGTAAGCTGGAGCACGTGGGGCGGGGGGACAGGGGAGCAGAACCCGGTGGGATGGGGGGATGGCGGTGCCAGGACATTAAGCCCGTGGCTCTTTCTGCAACAAAAACAGAAGGGCCTGAATGGGCGCCTGCTGCACGGGGATGTTGGGGAGTAGTGGCAAGAGCTGAAGTAGTCTGACTGACTTTCAGAAACTTCAGGAAGGAAAGCAGGGTCCTTGAGCCCTTGGCCAGGACTTCTGTCTTTTCACTTCTGAGCTCCGATTACAAGAAGAGAATGTGTTCATGTGGTTCCAATAATTAAAAAGGTACCAGATCAGGCCCCTCCTACCCCTCCCCCAACCACTCAGCTCCCCTTCTGAGGAGCATCCAGTGTTTCAGTGTCATGGCGGTGCTTCCAGGCCCGCGCTAACAGCAGCTGGTGGCGGGGCCTCGTGACCGGGGCTCTGCTCATACACGGCCACTCCTGAGTGCCATGCGTGCTAAGGAGAGCTGGCCTCTCCAACCACAGAGCCAGGAGTCATGGGGACTCCCAAGACCCACCCCTTTCCACGGGCACAGCCCAGGGCAGTTGGGTGGTTTGGGCCAATTCACATGGGCCATGGCCACCTAGGCTGAATCCTCATCGGTGCACTGATCTGTGCAGGGACCAAGGGCAGCTGGGAGCCCCAGGCCAGGGCAGTGCAGGCTTGAGCAGGGCCTTTCCCTGGAGCCCTTCACCCCAGCTCCCCTCTTCTTTTCCACAGGCTTTTCCAGTCCTCCTTTCTTTTCTGGTAACCTGTGGAAACCGCCGCCTCTGCCTGTGTCCTGGTCCTGCCCCCATGAGCGTGCACCGGCCCCGCTGGCCAGGTGAGGTGCGGCAGCATCCATTGTGGTCTGTTCCTTCCACTGCTCCCTTCCCCTCCGATGCCCATTCCTTCCAGTTCCTTCCTCCAGAGCCGGAATGAACTAATGGACGGCAGGAACCCAAGTGTTGTGGACAGACTTGACCCTGAAGACAGAGGAGCCTCAGAACAACGAGGGCGTGAGATAAAGGGAGTGCCAGACCCTTGTCCAACACCGGCTCCCAGAAACCCGGGGTACGGGGAGCAGCCCCTGCCTGTCCATGGAGGGCTGGCTCACGGTGGGCGGGGCCAGGGAGGCTTTTCCCCCAGGCACAGAGCTCTGGGGCTTGGACCCTGACACGAGAGGTCAGATAATGCAACAATTCCCCACTGCTCAGCTGGGAGGTCAGGCCCTCTGGCAGCATCCTGCGGGGGGCTTCATACTGTCGCGGAGGGCACGGGGCTGCCCCAGGGAGCTGGGCTGAGGACAGGTGCCAGGGAGGTTCCTGGGGGGTCTTCTCCCCAGTCCCCCAAGTCCACCAGCTGCAGCTCCGAAAGGATGTCTGTCGAAAGGGACCTGGCCTTCGGGGCTGGGGGTTGTCGTGTGCCTTGTGGTCCCTCAGCCCCTGGGGGCAGCGACAGGAGAGGCTATCAGCGCCAGGAGGTGCGCGCAAACATCACTTGCTTCTGGTGTCACTCTCACCCCCGTTCCCCAAAGCTGCTTGCTCCCCAAAGCTCCTCTCCAGAGGAGAGGGGGTAGCAGGGCCAGGCTCGGTGTGGCCGCAGCGTGCCGGCCTGAGAGGAGAATGAGGAACAGCCAGGCCGGGGGGCCTCCGGGGCAGTCACGCTTCCTTCCCTCAGAACTGCACAGTCTGGGACCACCTCCACTCATGAGGTAGGAGAGAGGGATCCTCGAGACGAGGAGAAGCCCTAGGCAGGAGACACGCTCTCCCCCCTCCCCCACCTCGTGACTGGTGGTGCCTCTCGGGGTGAGATTCCCCCGCCTGTGCACTGACCTTGGCTTCATGCTGAGGCCCAGTTTAGTGTCCTCTCTAATCTGAACCAACGGTGATCGTATGATTTTTATTTCTGCCCCGAGGGGTAAGGGCAGAGTCTTCTGGAAGGTTTTGCCTTGGACTTTCATAATTGAGCTCAGAGGCCTTGCCCTGCCCCCTCCCTCCCTGCCCCCAATCACTGCAGTGTCCAGCCCAGTGTTGAACAGATTGTAGTGTTTTGTCTCATTACAAACAAATAAACAGACTTTAATTGGTCACATCCTGTTTCTCCAGTGCCGGCCTGCTGCACTTTTGGCCCTACCTCTGTGGTCTCAGCTCCCGTGGCTGAGCACAGCTCAGAGACTGGGTGTGCACTGCCCTGTCCCAAGGATGGCTCCCAGCTGAAAGGGCCACTTGTTTTGTGTAATCTGCCAGAGAATGTGGTCCTGTGGTAGAGGTTCTAGAGCTGAGCGCACAGCCGGCTTCAGCACAATCAGAAGGTTCTCAGCAGCTGCTTGTTGTTCCGGGGTCTCTGAGCGGCTCTTGGCCTTGAGCTGGGGCCCGGTCCTCTCGGGAGGCACTGTCCTGGCTTAGAGAAGGTTCCGCAGGTGACCCAACACAGTTGTCAGGTGGGGACTCTGGGCCGGTGCCCCCGCCACAGGAGCCTGGTGGGAGCCTTGGGTCGGGACACCCCATCGTGGCAGCCTGCGGCAGGGTGCCAGCGTGTCCCCGTCCCTAATGGGCCAGGCCCAGGACCAGGTGCTTCCACCAGCCTCTCCTTGGGGCTTCTGGCCACTCCGGGGTAGGGGATCATGTTTGTCACTCCACTAGACAGATGAGGAAGAGTGGTTCAGGGCCTGGGAAGTACCCCGGGGCTGCACAGCAAGTGAACGGTGGCCCTGGAGCCCAGCCCAGGTGTGGACTCTCCAGAGCGCATGTGCACTGCTCCCCAAGGGTTGGGCATCATCCAGACGGCCGTCCCTTGGGGCCAGGGCCTGTGGCGCCTGCAGAGCTAGGTGGGTGGGAGCCTCTGGGATGGGGACGGGGGTCGATGCTCCCACGGGGAGCTCTGAGCAGCACCTGCTGCTGGTAGGTCACATCTGGGTCATTTGTGCCAGCGGGTCCGGCTGCTTTCCTCTGATGGGTCAGCTTCAGCAGTAAGGAGGTGACTCCCTGGGGTCCCTGCCCAGTTGTGTGGCTGAGTATCACTGTTCCTTGGGGGGTGGGGGTTCTGGTTGAGCCTTTCCCTAAGCACAGCTGTGCCTTCCCAGGCTGGCCTTCCCACATCAGGTGTCGAGGACACTGCGTGTCCAAAGGGCTGGAAGGGACTCCTGGCGGCCCAGTTGGGTGCCTCCTAGCTGTTCAGGGAATGGGGTGGGGGCGCCCCAGGGCGCTCGGTGCACGTTTCCACGAGTGTCGACTTGTTTGGGATGTGCCTTCACATCAACTCCGAGTCCCCAGGACGCTAGGACTGTGGCTTCTCTGTTTTTGGCCTGTTCCGTGTGTTTTTCAAGAAAACCTTGGGAGGTTTAGGCAAGAGCCGTTTAGAGGTGAGCTAAGTGACTTTTCTTTGGAGCCATCTTGTCATTGCAGCGAATGTCTCTCCCAGGGAAGAGCCGGGACTGCAGGTTGTCTGGTCTCCTTGACCTCAAGTGGGGCGGCTCGACTGGGGCCAAGGGACCCACTCCAGGAGGCCCAGAGCTTGGCCGTGCCTGTGGCCGCGGTTCCCTCCACGTGGCCTCCCCCGGGCTGACTTCGTTACCCATCATATGGGGGGCTCCTCCGGGGCACACGCCAGAAGCTGCCAGGCCTCCTTCAGGCCACAAGTGATACCACGTCCCTTCTGCCACATTCTGCTGGTGAAGCAAGACCCAGAGCCAGTCCCAATTCCAGGTGGGGACTGCACGAGCGAGAATACCAGGACACGTGCATCAGAGGCCACGGTGGCCACTGACCACATCCCAAGATCTGGACCCCGGGGCAGCCTGTGCTCCTCCCTGAGCCCAACACCTTCATCCAAAACAGCTCGGGGCCCTGCGTCCGAGGACCATATACTGTGGATTCTGGCAAGGTCTCACTTCTGCCCAGTGCTCAGGACAGTCTCCCTAACATCTGTCTTCAGCAGTCCACCTGGCCTTGGCCTTCTGGGGCAGCAGGGAGCTGCCCTTTTTGTCACTGCCCAGTGGCTCATCTGGTAGATCCGCTAGGCGGCCGTGTCCCTGTCGCAGTCCAGCTGGAGGATTCAAACACCTACTCTCTTCAGTCCTCCTGGGGCTGCTGTCTGGCTGCTGCCACCTCAGGCTCCCACTGCCCAAGTCCACATCCACCCAGGGACCCGAGTCCCCAGAATCTGCTGACCAGGGGCCTACAAAATGTCCAAGGGTGGGACCGGGGTACAGGGGCAGGGAGGGGCTCTGAGGGATTATTTCCCTGCATCTGGAAGGAACCCAGGTATCCATAGTGTCCTTGACATCATCACGTGTGGTCTGGTCCTGGGTCATCACCCAGGAGCCCATGGTGGGACGAGCTCAGCCCTAGCCCGAGCAGGGTTGCCAGGACTGGAAGTCAGCCACACGGGGGGCATTGAGATGAACCCAGGTCCTCCCATCCTGTCCCTACTGGGCTGAGTTCTAGTGATGTAGAGCAGAGGGTCTCAACCAGAGTGATTCTGTCTCCCCCAGGGGACACTGGACACTGGAGACACTTGGTTGACACATTGGGAGGAGAGTCCTACGGGAATCCAGTGGGTGGAGGCTGCCAGACATCCTACGATGCAGGGATGGCTGCTGCGACAAAGATCCGGCCCCAATGTCAACAGAGCTGATGCTGACACACGTTGGTACAGAGGAGTCCAAGCTGAGGTGCCTGGAGTCCAGCCCAGCAGGGAGAAGGGCTGTGCCTATCCTGCCTGGAGGGACAGGACGGCTGGGGGTCCCCACAGAGCAGTGAACTCAACCAAGGCCTGGGTGAGCAGCAGCGTGGGGTTCAGGCCAGCATCTCTGCCCAGGTTGGGAACTTGCTCTCTTCCTGGCACGCTTCCTACACATGGCCTGCTTTCGTTTGTACTCTGCTGCCTCGGCCAGAATCCCACGCCTCGCATTTAGGTCTGTTGAGACCTTGCCCATCCGGGAAACCTTCTGGGAGTCTCGCCCAGAAGAAGGTGTTCGCTCCTCAACCAAGGGTGGGAGTACCTTGGATCCTCCCTGGCATCAACCCAGAACTTTGCTGTCAGTGCAGCTGGCAGCTTCTCTGAGAGACTGTGCGTTGACCTCCCCACAGACCGACCCAGGGACAAGAAGGTGCAGGCCTTGGCGTTTATTAAAATTAGACCTGTGGGCTTCCCAGCCTCTTGGGAGCCCAAGTCTCCGATCAGCCTGGCCTCCCACGTACAGGTGGCTGACCTGAGTTGGAGCAGGCTGCAAGGGCTTCTATTTTTTTTCTGTTCCTCCCACGGGACCTCCTCCTCCCTCCTCCCCACCCCCCCCCCCTTGAGTTTTCCTGAGACCCAGGCTCTGGTGCTGGGCAGCTGCTGGGGTGTCTCTGTGGGGTGACTCCTGGTGAGGGCTGAGCCCTTCCTCTCTGGACCTGCCTCCCTCTCCTGAGCCATCCTTTCCTCTCCCGTCCCGAGCTGGGACAGCCAGTCCTGCCATCAGATCCCTATGGTCTCTCCAGAGCCCCAGAGCGGGTTCTCTTGCACACCGGACATGTGGACTCCTCTGAGGTCCCCCAGGACCTCTTCGGCCTGAGCCCCAAGCCTTCTGGCGGACCAGGCTGGGAGGCGGCACCCTTGGCCGGGTCCACGCTGGAACTGGAAGCTGAAGAAAGTGGACGGAGAGGAATCACTCAGAGGGACTGAAGGGAGGTTGTTAGCCCATCCTATGACCACCGCACCCCCCACCCCGAACCTGGCATTCTTCAGAATAGGAAAGGAGGAGCAGTCCTCCATAAAGAGAGCCCTAAGGAAGGGAGGAGAAAGAAGGAAATGGATGGTTCAAGCCAGAAGGATCCTTGTCTAACTGAGCCCCCTCATTTTACAAATGGGCAAACTGAAGCTGGGGGTGGGGTGGTGGGGATGAAGTTGTCCAAGGTCCCTCATTGAAGGCAAAGCTGGGATAGGAACCCAGGAACCTCGGGAGTGAAGAAGGGCCCATCTGGGTCCATCTGAGTCCCCAACAAACCCTTCTCTGGGTCTTATCCTCCTGTCCCCACCCTGCCTCACCTGGATTTTCCAGGCTGTCCCCAGGCACTTGAGTTTCCAGAAGAACTGAGCGGTGGCTGTCCCCTGGGCCCAAAGTCCCGTGTGGCAGGTCTAGGGGCCAGGCCATACCCTCGGGTGGTGGGAGGCAGCCCCTGGCCATGAGCTGGCCCAGCCAGTGGCTCTCACCCTGGCCGGCGGGCTGCATGTGGCTCGGCAGGTAGAGACCCAGGCCCCGGAGGTGACGCAGCCGGAAGTTCTTGGGCTTGCTTCCCTGGGCACCGGGGCACTGCTGCTGGGCCCCCAGGCCCCCCTCGCAGATGTTGGGTGGCGTGTCGGGGTGGCTGGGATGTCCTCGGGCCCAGCTCACTGCATCTGCAGAGGGAAGAGCAGGAGGGTGGTGGCTCGCAGGCCGCGGCAGCCACGAGGGGAGAACACAGTCACGTGCTTTAAGGCCAGCTCGCGTAATGGGCACTACCCGCGGCTTGCCGAGCCTCGGCCTGCCTGTCTGCCAAACAGGCTCAGTCCTCTGCCTCCCGCCAACCTTCACCCAACATGTTACTCCTCTTCCCTTTCCCATCCGACAGGGAGGTCTGAGAAGCCCGAGACCGTGGCACAAAGATTTTTTTCAGGATTTTCAAGCCCTTTCTACCACCCATTTTTGCCCCCCTAGCCCTAGAAAGAGCATTCTAGTGTCAGTATAGAAATTGCACAGTGGGTCCAGGCCCACTGTGGGATCACACAGCCTAGACCATTGGCCATTCCCCCCTCCCAAGCATGCATGTCCCTGAGGCCACTCCGGTGGCTTTGGGCCCAGGTTGGGAAAGGAGGGCATCTCTCCTCCTGCCACTCCTCCCTGCAGCCCGGCACCTTCTCTTATGCGCAGCTCAGAGAACGCACAGACCAAGGCTTCCATGGAGGGCCAGCGTGGTGGGGGAGGAGCTGCTGGGCCTCCTGTGCAGCAGGGCTCGGCTCTCCCCTGCCTGGGTCTGCACGTCTCCCGTGGCAACCGGCTCTGTGATGTCAAACGGAACACTCCCAGCCTTCCTGGACCCCCAAGTTTGGGAGAGCATGATGCTCTGGGGTAGGGCAAGGGTGGGTGGAGGGCAAGGGAAGGGGGTGGAATCCTAGAGGAGGTCCCTGATCTGGTTTGGGACAGGCCACACAAAACAGACTCAGGTCTTGAAGGCCGGAGAGTCACTCCCTCAGTGACCTCTTGGGGTGTCAGTTTGCTCATCCGTGGGTGGGAAATGAGACTCTAAGGGCACAGACTTGGTGAGATCTGAGCCAGTGCTTTGAGCCTGCTGAGAAGGTGGTTTGGGGTGGCTGCGCAAGTCACTTAATTTTTCTAACCGTCCATTGCCCTGTAAGTTGGTGATGGGGTATCATGTGGGTCGTACCAAGTGTAAGGACGGATGTGGAGGAACTGGGGCTCTGTGCACTGCTGGGGGGCATGTAAAGTGATATGACTGCTTTGGGAGACAGTTTCTTCAAAAGTTAAACTTCTCATACACAGATACCTGTTCTCATATAGGGAAAACATGAAGTCACATGTAAAAACAAAACCTATTTGGATAAAACCATTAGAGATAAAAAGTTCAGCTCATTAGTTGCAGGACACAAGATCAACACACAAAAATTAATTGTATTTTTACATAGTAGCAAAGAAAAATAATAAAACAGGAATAAATTTAACCAAGGAGGTGGAAGACATACTGAAAACTACAAAAGTGCTAGAAAAAAAGGGAAACATAAACACACACGTGTGTGTGTGTGTGTGTGTGTGTGTGTGTGTGTGTGTGTATATATATATATATCTATATATATATCTCCTTGTTCATGGACTGAAGGTTTAACCTGGTTGAGACAGCAACACTCTCCAAAAAAGAAAAAGTTTGAAGATTCCTTACCGCTGTTTGCAACACTTACTATAATCCTACAGTAACCCAGAGTGTGGAACTGGCATAAGGATACACGTCCTAACCAATAGAATAGAAAAGAGAGTCCAGAAATAAACCTATGCATCTCTGGTCAATTGATTTTCAACAAGGGTGCCAAGATTATTCAATAGGAGAAAAATAGTCTCTTCAACAATGGTGCTGGGACAACTGGACGGCCAGATGGCAAAGAATGGAGTTGGACCCCTACCTCACATCATTTACAAACATTACCTCAAAATACAATGAAGACCTACCTGTAGGAGCTAAAACTGTAAAACTATTTAAAGAAAACACAGGGGTAAACTTCAAGACCCTGGATTTGGCAGTGGTTTCTTAGATATAATAACAAAAGCACAAGCAACAAAAGAAAAAATAGATAAATTGGACCTCGTCAAAATTGAAAATTTGTGTGCTACAAAAGACACTATCAAGTGAAAAGACTACAGAATGGGATAACCTTATAAATTATATATCTGGGGGCGCCTGGGTGGCGCAGTCGGTTAAGCGTCCGACTTCAGTCAGGTCACGATCTCGCGGTCCGTGAGTTCGAGCCCCGCGTCGGGCTCTGGGCTGATGGCTCAGAGCCTGGAGCCTGTTTCCGATTCTGTGTCTCCCTCTCTCTCTGCCCCTCGCCCGTTCATGCTCTGTCTCTGTCCCCAAAAATAAATAAACGTTGAAAAAAAAATTAAAAAAAAAAAGAACTCTTAAAAACTCAACAAAAACCTTATCTGAAAAAGGATGAAGAATTTGAATAGACATTTTTCCCGAAGAAGATACACAAATGGTTAGTAAGCACATGAAAAGATGTTGAACATCATTAGTCATTAGGGAATTACAAATTTAAATGATCGTGAGATACTACTTTATACCCATGAGGGTGGCTATAAGAAAAAAAAATGACAATATTAATGAAAATGTTGGAGAAGTTAGAACCTTCTTACACTGCTGGTGGGGATGTAAAATGGTGCAACCACTGTGGGAAAACAGTTTAGCAGTTCCTCTACAAGTTAAACATAGAATGGCCATACAACCCAGTAATTCCGCTCCTAGCTATATACCCCAAAGAATTGACAATAGGTTATTTCTTTATTTCGAGAGTGGGGGAGGGGCAGAGAGAGAAGGAGAGAGAGAATCCCAAGCAGGTTCTTACAAATCGTGAGATCATGACCTGAGCTGAAATTGAGTCGGACACTTAACTAAGTGGGCCACTCAGGCACTCTAGTTTTGCTTCTTTAAAGCTTTTTTTATTTTAGTCATGCTTACTGAGATACAATTTTAGATATGGTAAAACTGACCTTTTTTTTTGTGCATAGTTCTGTAAGTTTTTATAAACACCCACTGTCGTATAGTTAGCACCACGATCAAGATATAGAACAGTTCATGGGGCGCCTGGGTGGCTCAGTCGGTTAAGCGGCTGACTTTGGCTCAGGTCATGATGTCGTGGTCCATGAGTTCGAGTCCCGCGTCAGGCTCTGTGCTGACAGCTCAGAGCCTGGAGCCTGTTTCAGATTCTGTGTCTCCCTCTCTCTGACCCTCCCCCATTCATGCTCTGTCTCAAAAACAAATAAACGTTAAAAAAAAAAAGATATAGAACAGTTCCATCACCCTCCAAATATTCTTTTGCACCTACCTTCTCCTGGCAACTATTCATTTGTCTTCTTATCCAGACTCATGTAAATGGAATCATACACTATGTAGCCTTTTGAGTCCGGTTTCTTCCAGTTAGCATAAGGCATTGGAGTTTCAGCATTGTCCTCCTATATATATCAGCAGTTCGTTTCTTTTTTTACAGCTGAGTGGTAATCCATTATACGGATGTATCACAGTTTATCCATTCATAAATTGAGGGATGTCGTTTGAATGCTTTCAAGTTTTGGGATCAATGTTTGTGTACAGGTTTTTGTGTGAACCTAAGTTTTTGTTTCTCTTGGGCAAATACATAGGAGTAGGATTGCTCAGCCATATATATATATATATATATATATATATATATATATATATATATATATATATTTATCTTTGAGACAGAGACAGAGCATGAGCAGGGGAGGGGCAGAGAGAGGGAGACACAACTGGAAGCCGGCTCCAGGCTCTGCGCTGTCAGCATAGAGTCCATCGCGGGGCTCAAACTCACAGACCGTGAGATCATGACCTGAGCCAAAGTTGGCGGCCTAACCGACTGAACCACCCAGGCGCCCCAGCCATATGTTAAATATATATTTAATTTTATAAAAAAATTACCGGTTTTGTAAAGTGGCTGCACTGTTTTAGATTCTCACCAATAATATACAAAAGTTCAAGTTGCTCCACATTCTTTGAAAGCGTCGCACTGTCAGGGTTTTTGAACTCCTCAACCACGTGTCATGACCTGAGCCTAAATCGGAGGCTCAACAGACCGAGCCACCCAGGCGCCCCCTTTTTGTCTGCTTTCTAACTGATGTGCTTCCTTACTGATTTTGAGAGTTCATTATGTATTCTGGATACAAATCTTCCTATCGCGTGTGTTTCGTGGATATTTTTTTCTAGACTGTGGGCGATCTTTTCATTTTCTTAAAAGTGTCTTGAAGAGCAGTTTTAAATTTTGCTGCAGTCCAATGTATTTTTTCTAAACTTTTTTTTTTTTTAAAGGGCTCATACTTCTGGTGTATCTAAGAGATCTTGCTCAACACAGTCACAACACGTTTCCCCTAAGTTTTCTTCTAGAAAACTATAGATTTTAAGCTTTACGTTTAGGGAAAAACAAAACTCTCCACGGAAGCGCGACCAGGTGTGTGGGCTCTATTTCGGGACTCTCTTTCAGGTCAAGCCTTTGTGCGTCGGTTCCTTCGCCCACACCAACAGGGAGGAGGGTGGCCAGAGGGTGGCACTACCTCCTCTTGGCCCGCCCTTCCGGACTCGGCACACTTCATTCACGCCCCCAGCCCCTCTCGGTCGCCTGCCTCCCACCTTGGCAGCCAGGCAGGGAGGACTCCCACGGGATCTCCCAGCGGCCAGGCCACGTGTCACGCGCATCCCTCACCTAGCAGCCCCACACTCCCTCCACGGGCTCACGCCCACACCCACGCCCCAAAAGCCACGGTTGCCAGGACAATCCCCGGCCTGCAAGGACCGGGACCGATTTCCGGCCTGTTGTGAAGCCCGAGCCAGCTGCGCAGGCGCGGTCGCGCCAGAGCCGCCTGTCGCCGCCTGGTGGTCAGCCTGGGTTTTCGCTCAGCTACATCCCGGGCCTCGCCCCTTTATGCTGTTGCCGCTTCTCTGGGCCTTCGGTCGCCGGTGAAGCCAGCAAGTTTACCCATGGCAGAGAGAAATGTGCTGGGCACGTGACCCAGGAGGGAGACCCGGCTTCGTAACACTACCGTACATTCTGTCTAGGGGAGTTGAGGAAGAAATGTGAACCAGTACGTAGAGCGCCTAGCACAGTGTCAGGCACGTAGTAGGTGATCAGAATGTGTCCGCCAGGGCAACATGTTTGTTTGCAACGTGTGTGAAGGGTACGCAAATGCTGCACACTCGCAGCCCCTAGCCGCGACCGGAATCCCTCAGCGTCGCCAGACGCACCCGGCCCAGCGCCCTCTCGCTTGCGCATGCGCACGCGCGCGACCGGGCCCCTTCCGGCCCAGTCTTGTTTGGCCCCGGCCGCGCGCCGTTGAGGGCTGGGTGTGTTGCCATAGAAACCCGTGAGCGCTGAGGGCGAGCGACCCAGACTCCAGGCTGCTGGGGATCAGAGCGCCATGTCTTTCCGCGACCTCCGCAGTAAGGCATACCTGCCCGCTGTCACCTGCGTGTCCTCGGTCCGAGGCTTGCACGGCCAGAACCCCCTCTCGAGCCTGTGCGGCTCAGGGGTGTCCCTGCCCGCTGCCGCCCCCCAGCCCCCACTTCCAGGCTGGGCGCCCCAGCCTTGTCTCTGCGCTGGCGGGGGGTTGTGTGTGTGCCCGCGGCCGCGTGTGGCTAGTGCGGCTGAGGAGCCGGGGTTAATTGTATCTAATTTCATAGGACTTGTATTGCCACACGGGGCTGCTCGCTGCCGTATTGGAAGACGATGAGACGTTTTTGAGTGGGGTTAGCTTAAGAGCTCAGAAAACCGAGGAGGGGACTGGTGATTGATAATAGTTGCGGCTGATATCGAATTTTTACGATCTGCCAGGTAGTTCCTGTTGTGCGTGTGCATCGTTTCATTTACTCCTCGGAGCTACTCCGTGCTCCTGTATTTAGAGAGGAGGAAACGGGCAGCCAGGTCAGTCAACTCGGTCAGAGGACACAGGCGGTGAGAGCTGGCGCTGGAGTTTGAATTCAGGTTGTCTAACTTCCAAAGCCTGCGTGCTTCCGAACAGAGCTGGTGAGGAGAAGGGAGCCCAGACGCCTTTGCTGGAAGGGTGGGGAAGTGGAATCCGGATAAGAGAATTCGTTACTCATTCTTTGGAGCACCTGTTACACACCAGGCGTTTTACATTCAATACGGTATTTTAGTCCTCGGTTTGGCAGTGAGGTAGGTAGTGTAATCGGGATGAAATACTTTGAGCCACAGAGAGGTAAAGTTGCTTGCTTTAGGTCACGCAGCTAGAACTGGGTGGAGGAACCAACGATCCGGACTTGGCACTGTGTGAATCGAATTCTCTTGCCTTTTATGCACCATTTTCTGAATCTGAAGCGGTTGAGCAGACTGGCTCCACCTGCGTGGGTGGAGCCGGTGATTGCCAATGTGGTGTGGTCTGGGGTGAGTCTTTACTGCCAGTTTTCCAACCGAATTGCTGGAAATGTCACCATTAACGATTACTCCTTTCAGTTGTGACTGGAGGCATCGCGTTTTATTGACACCCCTGGTAGTACCATGGTGTGAATTACGACCTCTGGGATTTGCGGGGTCTGGGGGGACTGTGCGTTGTAGAGACCGGTTTCTGCCCCCCACAGTTAGAGGCCGAGGCCAGCGTTCTGCTAGGGGACGCTCAATGGAGTTGTGTTGCGGGGGAAGGTATAAGAAGGGAATTTCTGAACATTTTGCCCTTAATGAATGGCAAACTGTGTGCAATTTATGGTAAGAGTCTCAAATTGTCCCCATTTTGCGGAATTAACCGAACCTGACAACTCAATAGGAGGACGGATTTAGGCAGTTCCTGGCTGTGTGGTGGGAAGATTGCCACATGATTTACCCCCACTCTGTTCACATTTCCCAGAAAACAGTGACAGAGGCCCTCTGTGCCTTTGCTCTTTCCTTTGCTCGTACCTTCTCTTCTGTTGCCTGCTGACAACCAACCTAACCTCCGGTGCCCAGGAAGTTTATTTGTGAATGTCGCTGAGATATTTTGAACCTTCAGGAAGGGCGAGGACAGGCATTCTGTAGCCAGAAGCGCACCGAATATAGACCTTGGCACGTTGTGGAAACGCAAAAAAACGTTTGTTGTGTTCATTTGCTCATTCTGCTCAAAGCTTAGTGACCACCACCTCCGGTTTCGAAAAGTATTAGTAGTGTTGTTTCTTGTTCTGGTGTATAAAAAAAAAAATCTAAGTATTGCTGTATAGTTCCACCAGTCTCTTTAAGATTTCTTTAAATATGCAATTAACCTTTAAAATTTGGGTTATATAGGACCTTAGCCCTATATGCTCACTAAACAAAGATAAAAAAGACAACTCCACAATAACTCAGGTGAACTTCTCCCTGACCACCATCACCTCTAAACATAACCACTGTTCACATGTAATGTATTTTTTCCTTATGACCTTGTATAAAGCCAGGTGTAGTGGGATCCTCGGGCAGAGTCGTGACACTGAGGCTTTTCTTTCCGGGAGCAACTTTATTCTTGCCGGCACTGCTCAGTTGGGTTTGTACCCGAAGAACTGAGCCCCCAGTGCCTCGTGGTGTAGTTTTTTAAATCTATTTTTTACTTCTTTGTCTCCCATATATGGTAAGACACAAACACGTAGTCTGAACTAGGGGTCTCCTGTTACAAGGTCGTGACGGATGTTGTCACGTACGTGTGGTACGTGTATAGCCAGGTTGCCTTGAGGTTTTGGTTTTTTTTTTTCTCTCCTTAGGGAGGGAACCCTGCCCCACAAGTAATTCTCATTTTGAATAGTACAGAGAACGATATCCACGAGAAATGACCTATCAAAGACAGATTCACAGCCGGTCCCTAAACTCTGTTATAATGTAAAGCTTTTACTTTGCCCTCCCGTTGAACTTAAATGTGTTTCAGGAAGCAGAGGAGGTATTTCAACTTTCATCTCCTTTTTACTTTCCCTCTTAGAGAGTTGATAAATAGTCCCCCAAACTGTCACTATGTTGGGAATAACCAGGGGAAGCAAGGGAAATGTCGAAGTTAATAAGTGGTTGGTCTTTGATGGGGAACTGACTGAATTGTTTTACCTTTGGACAGATTTCACAGAGATGATGAGAGCCTTGGGATACCCTCGACATATCTCTATGGAAAATTTCCGCACGCCAAATTTTGGACTTGTGTCTGAAGTGCTTCTTTGGCTGGTGAAACGGTTAGAACTTTTATTGAGGTCTAAGAATGAATACCATATTCCATAGCTACCAAGAATAGGATACCATTGTAAAGCAAAAGGAAGAATTCAGTAAATTAAAAAAAAATGTTTTTAACGTTTATTTATTTTTGAGAGAGAAAGAGAGGGAGAGAGACAGACAGAATACAAAGCAGGCTCCAGGCTAGCTGTCTGCGTGGAGCCCAATGCGGGGCTCGAACCCACGAACTGTGAGATCATGACCTGAGCCGAAGTTGGACACTTAACCAACTGAGCCACCCGGGCGCCCCAAGAATTCAATAAATTGTGAGTTTGACAGACTCCTTTGTAACCTGTTAAAAATCAGGGGAGTATAGCGGCACCTGGGTGGCTCAGTCGTTTAAGTGTCTGACTTCAGCTCACGTCATGATCTCATGGTTCGTGGGTTCAGGCCCCACATAGGGCTCTGTGCTGAGACCTCAGAGCCTGGAACCTGCTTCCAATTCTGTGTCTACCTCTCTCTACCCCTCCCCTGCTTGTTGTCTGTCTCTCAAAAATAAATAAATGTTAAAAAAAAAAAAAATCAGTGGAGTACCAAGAACACTGTGGTAGAAGGGAATATACCAGGCAGTGGTAAAAGGAGATTTCTTAGTCGGAAGCATGCACTGTGCTCAGGTCCAAGCGCATCTTCATGCTCTCACTTCACAGGGAGTGATGGTCTCTCCACACACTTTGATGAGTACTGGAGTAGAAATTACCAAGATTTAAATTTCATTTTGTGTGAGAAATCTACCACGATTCAGGGTTGGCAGACTTTTCTAAGGGGATTGTGACTATTTTAGCTGTCACAGGCTACATAAGATCTTTGTTGCAAATTCTTACACGTGTTTTGTTTGTGATAGATAATCCTTGAAAAGTGTAAAAACCCTTCTTAGCATGCAGGCTGCCTAGAAAGAGACTGCTGACTTCTGACCCCTGGCGGGTCGTCATTGGCACCTGTAACTCCGCGCTTCCCAACCTCACGCGTTAGCCCTGTGTCAAGGACTGTCGGCTAGAGTAATAGTTCTGATTATGTTAATTACACTTTCAGGTCTGAGACAGATTTAAGTTTGTATGCTGAGCCCCAGACTTGATTTTTGGAATCCCATAAATCTGTTCTTAGGTGAGGACTCACTCCCTTGAGTGTTTAGCATTTTATGCTGCTTTTGAGGTCTCTCTTAGCCTTGCCCCCTTAGCTGGGGACTCCAAGAGCTAATTGTCACAGATCCCCTCAGCTTCCTGCTTTCTCTTGTGTTAACTTTCCACTTAATTAACTTGTGTCTTTTCTTTCTGTGAAAGGTATGAACCTCACACTGACATCCCTTCAGATGTGGAGACTGAACAAGACCGAGTTTTCTTCATTAAGGCAATTGCCCAGTTCATGGTTAGTTCCCAGCTTTGTGACAGAGTGATAACACTAACCCCACTGGAGAGGAGTCCTCGTTAGGGCCGCTTGCGGGTTTCTGACCGCCTCCCGTTAGCAGGTTTCCGGTAGCCGTTTCACCAGCACAGAGTTTTGGGGTTCTGTTTTTAATTCATTGTTTGTTAAGAATTCTATTTCGTTAGTTTCGAATGGGTAATAGATGTCGTGGTTCAACATTTTTTAAAAATGTGAAACAGTAGAATGGCTTTTTATCCTGCCTGCCCGTTGACCCAGTTCCATCCCCAGTCGCATCTTCCAGAGTTTCTTTATGCATAGGTAAGCAAATACAATATACATTCTTTGCCCTTCCTTTACACACATGGTGTTTGGGATCTTGCTTTCTTAATGGTACATTTTGGAGAACTTTCCAAATACAAATACAGCTTCCTCATTCTTTCTTATAGCTGAGTAGTAGTGCTTTTTTGGGTATACCATGATTTATGTGGTTTATATACAGATAGGCATTCAGACGTTTGTAACTTTGGCTCTCTGAAACAGCGCTGTCGTGAATAACCTGTACATACCATTTTCTTCATGACTGCGTCTCTAGCATGAGTCCTTAGGATTGGAATTGTTGGGGCGAAGATAATGTGCATTTGTAATTTTCTTGTCCCTTACCAAATTGCTCTCCATCCAGATGGCGTCCGTTTACACACCCGCTTGCAGTGCTTGAGCCGCTTGAAAGTTTGACCCTTAACACAGTCAGGTTACTGAAGAGAGATTTTCAAATTACCTACATAGGATTTGATGTAGATTTTTCGTGGAAAGGGCCTTAAACTGTTACCCTTCTTTTGTCTGAAAATAGGCCACCAAGGCACATATAAAACTCAATACCAAGAAGCTTTATCAGGCAGATGGGTATGCAGTGAAAGAACTTCTCAAGATCACCTCTGTCCTTTATAACGCCATGAAGACCAAAGGGCTGGAGGGCTCGAAGATAGGAGAAGAGGACGTCAGCAAATTCAAGTTTGATCTCGGCTCAAAGGTGAGGACCATGAAAGGCTCCTGGTGAGGGACGGAATATTTATTTCTTAAAGTCTGAAATGGACCCTGTCAGATACTCCCGGCGCCACTTCTTTCCTTACGCCTTAACTGAGAGCAGTTTTTCAGTTTTGCACTCGTCGGCACTTGGATACAAACAGAAGCCGCGGTAAATTAATCCAGCTCCTTATCGAAAGCCCGCTCTATGCCAGGCACAGTTCAGGCGCAGGGGATCCGGGCATGAACATCGAGGACGGAAGCCCGCTCTTCCTGTGGCTCAGTTAGGGGCGTCAGACTAAACCACACAGCAGAAGGAATGTCAGGTCCCAGGTGGCCGATGTGTGGGGAACTGTAAAGCAGGGCAGGGGCGGGGAGGGCCGGGGCAGGTGTCTTCAGTAGGGAGATGGGAGAGGTGCCATCTTCAGCAGGAGGACGGGAAGGGATTTGAAATTCTGTGTTAAGAGCATCACTCTGGCCGCTGGGGTGAGATCAGACTGAGGGGGGAGGTGAGGGTGGAGGTGGACCTGTTACAAAGCAAGAGATGACAGTGACTTTGAACCAAGTGGGTGAGGTAGGAGGGAGCTGAGTTGCCAGGCACCGGAGTCTTGGTTCAAGCAGCAAGTCAGAAGTGGAAGTTAAGTCCTGAGTCACTTACTGTCATGGTTTGGGCAAGGGGCTAAAAGCAGAGGAAGTGTCCCCTCGGCCCCCACCCCGACGCCATTCCTTTTTCTCCCAGGAGAGGGCGCACCAGTCCAGGGTTGTGTCCTGAGGGAGCTCTGAACAAAAGGCTCCAGCAGTTTTCGCCCTGAGGTGGGGGAGGACCAGGAGTGGCAGAGTGGTGGGTGCTGGGTCTTTGGGGAGAGTGTCCTCGGGTTTTCTCCCCGGCTCCCTAACAGGGAAGCCTGGGAGGCACCAGAGAGGACCTCAGCCCGAGGCCGCGGATGGGAGACCTGGGAGGGGAGGCCCTGGGGCTAGGAAGGCGGATATTTTGTAGGAACCGGTGGGTCAGGGGGCCGGAGTCCTTGACTGCCACTCCCTTCAGAGCCTGCAGCGAGGAGTCTCTTCTGGTGCGCGGTGGGCGCAGCTCTCCCCGTGGGGCCTGCCAGGGAAAACCTTGGTGGTCGCCCGTGATCAGGCCAGGAGTGAGACGCCTCCATGGAAAGAAGTGACCGGAAGTTAGAACCTTCTTTGAACGTACATCTTGGGGGCTTGGATGTGAGTTGAGAGAAAACAGACAGTGCAAGGAAGATCCTACAGCCACGCTGTCCGGTAGAACTGTCTGTGATGATGGATGGGTTCTTTATCCGCACCGCACGGTACGGCAGCCACTAGCCACGCGTAGCTAGCACAGCCGGGTGGGTTCTAAGTTTTTTTATTTACTTCTTTATTCATTTTTTTCTTTTCTAAATTTTATTTAATTTTAAACAATTTAACATTGAAAATGGCCACATGTGGCAAGTCCGTGCGGTATCAGACATCCTAGCTCTAAAGTCTTTGGTCTGAGCACCGGAACCGACCAAGTTGCCGGTTTCCCAAACGGAGGGGAGCATGGAAGGAGCGGGCTTGGTGGGACAGGTGGGGCGTTTGGTCTGGAACACGTTCAGTGTGAGGTGTCGGGCCTCAGGTCATAGATGGCGTTAGGGCTAGAACTCAGGAGGGAGTGTGACTAGAAAGACTTCGGGGGACCAGTCTCTGATGTACTCCAGGCCCGGAAGCGGGGGAGGTGAGACTCCCGCGGAGAAAACCAGATCTTTGCTGCCGTGAGGCGGGTGCAGCTGGGGCTGAAGGAAGCAGAAGCGGGAAGAGAGTCCTCAGCTGTGAATGAAGAGGGAGCCTTGTTGCTGGTGGTCTGGGAATAAGAGGGGGTGACATGTAATTGCAAGAGAGCAAGAGGGAGCAGAGCAAGGAAACATTGGGGCTCTTTGGAAAACGTCGCAGATGCAAGGAAGAGGGGGTGACCTGTGAACCCTAAGAAAGAAGCTTGTGCTCAGACCACGGGCCGTCATCTTCACGGCAGCAGCTGCCACCCTTGAGGGAGCCGGGCGCTGCTGTAGGGCTGTGGGCGCGTTACGTCACGTGGGCCTTAGTGGCCCTGTGCGGCCCGTCCAGAGGCGGGAGCTCGGGGGGTGGGAGCGATGAACGCGGGACACCAGGGTTCTGCGGTAGGACGTGTGCCTCTCCGGTTGTCCCTTCTGTGGTCACCCTGCTACCTTCGGGGTCCCCTGTTGGGACCGAGTCGGAATAGGAAGCATGTCCCTTTCACCCTCCTACACTTCCTGGTTGAGGAATACATTTGACTTGGCATTTGGATTTTTGGAGAGCCCCACGTGTCCTGGGAGTGCGCCTCCGCAGGGTGTAACATGTGTCCCGTGCAAAACATGTTCAGTAGTCAGGTATCCTGACGGGAGACAGGAATCGATGTTAACAAACTGGTTATTCTGAATGTCTGTTAACGTATCACCGAGGTTTCCGTTTTTCATATTTTTCCTTCCAGATTGCAGACTTGAAAGCAGCCAGGCAGCTTGCTTCTGAGATCACATCCAGAGGGGCCTCTCTGTATGACCTGCTGGGCAAGGAGGTGGAGCTGAGGGTAAGCAGTATTCGGATGCTTGAGTACTTCCTCAACGAAGCATTTTTCAGCGTTTCCTTTCCAGTTCTGCTTTTCCCGGTCCTTCTGATTTCATTAAACCATACCTGACTGGGGCTCCTGGGTGGCTCAGTCGGTTGAGTGTCCGACTTTGGCTCGGGTCATGATCTCGCAGTTCATGAGTTTGAGCCCCGCGTCAGGCTGTGTGCTGACAGCTCAGAGCCTGGAGCCTGCTTCGGATTCTGTGTCTCCCTCTCTCTCTGCCCCACCCTTGCTTGCGCTCTCTCTCTCTCTCTCTGTCTCTCAAAAATTGGTAAACGTTAAGTGTGTATATATACATATATATCTATACACACACACACACACACACACACACATATACATACATATAAATGTACCTGCTTAAATGAGATCCCGTGCTGGGAAGTAATACACAGCGTTAGCTGCCATTCTTGCTTCTAGGGCCACTGGTCTGTTTTTAATAGCTGTGGCTTCTAGTTCACAAATAGCAGTTATGTAGGATGTTGCCGGAACTTTCCTCCTTGTGCCCATAGCAGACTTTGCTGATCATGGTGCTTTATCCTGGGGAACTCAGCACTCTTGTCTACATAGTGCTCTTCTGAGCCCATGGTTCCCAAACCTTGCTTCCTGGTAGAATCACGTGTGCGTGGATACCAGCTTCCGTTCTGATGTCATTGGTTTGGAGTATGACGTAGGCATTGGAAGTTAGAAGTCTCCGGATGATTCTGACGTGCAGCAGGTTTGGGGAGCCCATGACCTAGGCAGTCCCAACCATTCAGCTGAAGTGGATGTTATGGTTAAAATTCATTTGCAATGCTTGTTTCAGCCAGCGCCCATCAAGGAGAATGCTTCATCCACTACATGTAAGGAGCTGTTTAAGAGCGTGCTTCCTAAAACCCTTCCAGAGCTCCTATAGTCCTTTTAAATCACCTGATGTCCACGTTGTCCCCCAAACCAGTGAGTCAGAATGTCTGGGGCTAAGAGCCAGGCATCCAGCTTTTAAAGATCTCCGGGTGATTCCAATGTGCGGCAGAGTTTGGGAGCCACTGGTTGAAGAAGAAATGGATGCTGTTTAACTCTTTTTTTTTTTCAACGTTTTTTATTTATTTTTGGGACAGAGAGAGACAGAGCATGAACGGGGGAGGGGCAGAGAGAGAGGGAGACACAGAATCGGAAACAGGCTCCAGGCTCCGAGCCATCAGCCCAGAGCCTGACGCGGGGCTCGAACTCACGGACCGCGAGATCGTGACCTGGCTGAAGTTGGACGCTTAACCGACTGCGCCACCCAGGCGCCCCTAACTCTTACGTGTAAAGACGTATGTCATTGGAAGCACACGTGCTCACATCTCACGTTTTTAAGTTCAATGCGGTTAATTCATCTCGTTCTGGTCTGGTATGTCAGCCGTGGCCTCTCACTTCCTGGTCTATGTTCTGGCATCACTGATGAAGTATGATAGTGTTTTTTCTCTTGCTTTTCATTTCTGCTCCAGGAGTGGTCTGGAAGCAGGGTACTTGGGTACCAGCTCACCATCCCTGCTCTCGATACGGTAACCTGGTGGTGGCCGCCCGGTGAAGGGCAGTTGGCAGAACACAACGGCCGCTCCCGTCTAATAGCTCATTCAGTTAACAAGGCAGCTCTAGGCTTTCTGGGTTCTTTGTTTTCTATTTTTTATTTATTTTATTTTATTTATTTACTTTTTAATTTTTAACATCTACCCTTGAGAGAATGAGAGAGACAGAGACAGCGTGAGTGGGGGAGGGGCAGTGCGAGCGGGAGACACAGGATCCGAAGCGGGCTCCAGGCTCCGAGCCATCGGCACAGAGCCCGATGCGGGGCTCGAACTCACGGACCGTGAGATCATGACCCGAGCCGAAGTCAGATAGATGCTTAACTGACCGAGCCCCTCAGGTGCCTGTGTTTTCTCTTTGTAGTGCAGGAGGGTACGTGTGTCTACACATGATTCTAAGAGACCTAGAGGTCACTTGCTAATTGCCACAGAGCTGTGGCTTCATTGTGAGACTTGAACCGGGATTCCACTGGGGACTCTTTCAGCACCATCCTCTAATGAATTGAAATAATCAGTGGCCGGACTGTTGCCATGGGAGCCATGAATATGGAACTTCTCAAATTCTGTATACAGTCGTGGTCTGAGGAGGATCCCCTGTCCAGTATTTGTTTTTCATGTACTCACCGAGGACTAGTATCAGTCACGGGCAAGGCACCATGCTCTGTGTCCTTGAATAGGTCATGGTCCCTGCCGTCTGTAGTTTTCCACAGTGGGGGAGATGAGAGGCGCTGTGGAATGAAGGAAGCCCAAGACAGTTTGGGAACGTGCTGCAGAAACCTCAGAACTGCATCCACGTTAAAATCCCACGGCTCAGAGAAGTTCCCGGTACTGGTATGATAGGCACAGATGCCTCCCGTGATTGGTTAGTGGTTAATGCTAGGGGGCAGGACCAAGGTGACTCCTCTCGTTGGCTGCAGATGTCGGTGACAGGCAACTTAGAGGGAATTAATCATAGGAAAGATCCTAGAGGCTGGCAGGAGTTCAGACGGCAGGTTGAGCTGCACTTATTTGGGGTTCCCACAAATGAATATAGGTAAAGAAGCAAACTTGGGAGTAAAGATGATAGAGGTGGGCTGAGTTTTGTCTGTGGCGTTGTGGGGACGTGGGGCCTGTAACTGAGGAAGGCCCAGGGAGCTGGAGGGAGGCCAGGTTGGCATTAGGGTTAGAAGAACGTTTGGAGGAATTGCTAGAAGAAGGGGTTTTGCATCAGAGGTCCACAATGTAGTGGGACTTTAGAGCGCTAGTCCATAAGCTGTATCTACATCTAGGAATTGGTTTTGAGAATTCCTCTTCTGAAAAGGAACTTCATTTCATTGTTTCTCACAGGAACTGAGAACAGAAGCAATTGCCAGACCTCTAGAAATAAATGAGACTGAAAAAGTGATGAGAATTGCAATAAAAGACATTCTGGTAAGCTTGTTTGCTTTTATTTAAAGTTTTTGTGCCTGGGACTTGAAAATAATTGGTTTAGTCCCTGCCTTCTTAAGACAGGGCAACCCTAGTCCTGTTGACAGAGAAGGGATATGAAAGTGGGGAAGTGAAAAATGCAGAGGACATTCTAGGATACGTAGGTTGCTTACTTTTATTATTTTCCCCCTTGTCATAAATATGAAAAATTTCTCCTTCAAAATTTGTCACTTTTAATAATTTCATAATTCACTTAAATTCCTCAATACTTTTCATAAGTAATGCTCTCTTTTATGGACTCTGCACACTTTATTTAATCATTTAATTCATCACAGTTGGGCATTTAAATGATTTTTAGATTTTCCTTTTATTTTTTTTTTTGTCCATTGTGTGGAAACCTAGGCACGGAGATTTTTAAATGGCGCCGTAACGAATAGAATGGCCGCCACCGTTAACTGCTCACCCGCCGTCAATTATGTGCTCATCTCATCTCAGGCATTCATTTGGAGGGTAGTAGTGAGGGAGACTCTCGACTCCGATGGCTTTGGGTTTGAATCCCACTTTGTGATCTTAGGCAAGTTGCTTAACCTCCTTGTGTTTCACTCTCCTCGTCTGTAAAACAGGGAGAAAGGCAGTGTCGGCCACATGGGGTCCTTCTGTGTATTCGTTGTAACAGTGTGTCAGACACAGTCTGGCCCATAGCAGGTATTCCTGTGTTATCAGTGATTCATTTTATTCAGTACACACAGGCAGGGAGGCTTATGTAAAGCAGGAGTAGCATAAAACAAGAATTTGCTGAGAGCTGTCAATTCTAAGATTGATAGGTTTTTATAATATCCTTGTCCTAAAACAGTAATACTCCCTGAACCCAGCACCAGGGTGCAGCCTCAGCAGGTAAGAAGGGCAGAGCAGCCGAGATGGGAGGTTGAGTGCATATAGACAGATGGATAAGTAGGTAACTATATTAAAGGTGATGAATGCCTAGGTTCTCACTCTTGGAAAAGAGAGTTAGTGGAGGAGAAAGAAAAGAAAATGAGAATGAACCCTGAAGTTGGAGCTATTGGTTAAATGCATGGTTTTCACTGGCTAGTTAGGTAGGTAGCCAGCTCCTTGCGTGTATGTCTGTGCACGTAAGTTTATGTCATATTTATATACGTACACATGCACACCCACGTCCACATTCCTATCTTTCTTACCTCTGAGCACACTTGGCACCCACATCTAGGCTTCTAAATACCATTCTCCACTAAAAGGAACCAGGCTCTTGAGGAGAAATGTCAGAGTCCAGAGCTGGGACAGGAAGGTACAAGATCCTTTTGGGCCAGCAAGGAAGGAAGTGCCCAAAGAATGAAAGGGGTCTGTCGGGGGGACACGGGAGCAGCTTGAGTGGGCTTCCCCTGGTTAAACTAGGGACAGTTTAAGCTTCAGAATAAACTATAGTAATGGCTTATAGAGCATTGAATGAAATGGGAGACCATGAGTTCTCACTGATATAAAAAATATTGAAAGCTGATGAAGAGAAAGTATCTGACATAGTTTCAAAGTAGCTCCCCACAGGGCTCCTGACTGGTCAGTCAGAAGAGGGAGTGATTCTTCATCTTGGGATTGTGAGTTCGAGCTCCACACTGGGTGTAGAGATTACTTAAAAAAGAAAAAAAAAAAAAGGCTCCCCACAAAAGTATTTACTAATTACAGAGGACAAAAGAGTAACTTCCCATGAGAATCCTGGCAGACACCCCCTTAATCCAGTGGTCAAAGTGAACATCACGGGTAATGGAACAAATCAGAATTCTGCACCCGGAAATATGCACCGGATACGGTCATATCTGTACTTTCCTGCTGAAGTTGCATGATCGGAAGCTAATCAGACAAAGGCACATTGAAGGGCATTCTGCAGGTTACCTGGCTCGTACTCTTCACCAGCGGAAAGTATGCGAAAGTCCAGGAAAGCCCGAGGAGATGTGCTGACGGAATGCCAAGGGTGACTTCCGCCTGGTGTTAAGGACTTCATGGGGACAAGTGGGGAAACCTGAGAGGGTCTGAGGACTAGATGGTGGTAGTGCATCCGTGTCCATTTCATGAGCCAGTGATTGAGGAGGAGAGAACCCCATTCATGCAAAATACGGAGTCAGGTATTTAGCAGTGATGGGGCCTCAAGTCGGCAACCCTGTCTGACCTAGGCCAGGAGAAAATGCTTCGTGTTCTACCCCAGCTGTTGGTAAGTTGTGATGGTTTCTCAGTTGAAAAGTTAACTGCTTGTCCGTGTTCTGGCTGGATGGAGTTAACATGGCATGAATGTGCCTTTAGCACTAAGTATGTATTAGGAGTACAGTAGCCAAATGAGGGCCCGGTTCGTTTCCCGGAGAACCCTCTATGCATGCTTGCATGCATGTATGTGTTATTTATTATATCCTTTCTTTTTTTTTTTTTTTTTAAATTTTTTTTTAACGTTTATTTATTTTTGAGACAGAGAGAGACAGAGCATGAACAGGGGAGGGGCAGACAGAGAGGGAGACACAGAATCTGAAACAGGCTCCAGGCTCTGAGCTGTCAGCACAGAGCCCGACGCGGGGCTCGAACCCACAGACCGTGAGATCATGACCTGAGCCGAAGTCAGACGCTTAACCGACCAAGCCACCCAGGCCTCCCCCTTTTTTTTTTTTTTTTATTTTTTTTTTTTTTTTTTTTTTATTATTTCCTTTCTTTAATTGAAGTGTGGTTGGCACACAGTGCTACATTAGCTTCGGGTATGCGACACAGTTGGTGAACACCTTTTCAGGTGTCTGTTAAGTGTTGCAAAGTATCCATGATATTTGATAATTCTAAAAGCAAAACCGAAACAACAGCGTGGATACTTAAAAGGGGTTATTATTTATTTATAGGCCATTTATTTCAGGCAAGGGGAAATTGTATTTATCACCCTGGTGTTTCTTATTTGAGGAGTGCATACCTTTAAAAAATTGTTTTATTTTTTTTTTAATGTTTATTTATTTTTGAGAGAGACAGACAGCACGAGTGGGGGAGGAACAGAGAGAGAGGGAGACACAGAATCGGAAGCAGGCTCCAGGCTCTGAGCTGTCAGCACGGAGCCTGACGCGGGGCTCGAACTCACAAACCGTGAGATCATGACCTGAGCCGAAGCCGGACGTGCAACCGACTGAGCCACCCAGGCGCCCCTAAAAAATTGTTTTTATTCTTTTTTTAAGTTTTTTTATTTTTGAGAGACACTCACACAGAATGCAAGTGGGGGAGGGGCAGAGAGAGAGGGAGACACAGACTCCGAAGCAGGCTCCAGGCTCTGAGCTGTCAGCACAGAGCCCGATGTGGGGCTGGAACTCATGAACTGCGAGATCATGACCTCAGCTGAAGTTGGATGCTCAACCATTGAGCCACCCAGGGGCCCCAAGTTGTTTTTATTCTTGAAGTCAGATAAATGCACTAGGCTTAATCTGACTTTGAGTCAGAGAAATAGTTGCCATCAACTTGAGTTTTTTGTTTAGAAACTCCCCTTGTCTTCTTGTGAGTGAGTTTAGATCTCTTTTGGGATTTTTAAAGCACTTGCAGCAAACGGATAGTGATAAGATTATTTTCATGAAAGCACGTTGGAAATGAGTGTACTTAGTAGAAAAAAATGAAACCATAAATAAACAATAGAGGTGGTTGCTTCCAAAGATATATAGTCTTTGACAGTCACGGAGTGTCCACGCTCCTTAGAGGGCTTCTTTGTGAACCCCACAGCGTGTCATAGACTTGCAGGTGAGCAGACACGAGGCCTTCGTGGGTGAGGACACGTGTGTGGGGTTCTGGTGGGCAGAAGCCCGCCTTGGGCGTCGGGGACGTGAGGCAGAGTTGGGACGTCAGAACTTGGGAGGCAGCCCCATGCTCCCGGACACCATTCCTGCTGCGGCCGATGGCAGCTCGGAGCCCAGGCCCGGCCCGGCCGGCTTCCCAGACCGGCGTGAGACAATAGGGAGGCGTGCGGTTTGTCCGTGATGTCTCTCCCTTCGCCTTCTTTCCCAGGCCCTGCTACCCCCGCTCCGGCCCGAAGGCCAGGTCCGCTGAGGGGGCCGCTTTCGCACTGCCTTCACGCGGTAGTTTCTCTGTTTTAGTCTGTAGTCGAGGTTTACTTGCCGGGGAGAGAAGAGGTGCCTTCTGTCTCGGTCCCAGCAGGCAGGATTAGGGCTGGGACCCCCTAAGGTTTCTTTCTGTCGCCTTCTAAATAAAGCCATGCTTGCGTGTGCACACATTTTGTGAGTCAGATGTTTGTAAGCAGGGGAGTAACCTGACCGGTGTAAACAGAGGCAGACTACCAACTCAGAGCAGTAGCTGGGTGACCAGTCTAAACAAGTGAGCTGCGCAGGAGGCCTTGGGAGCCTCTCCCCTCTGCCCAGGACGCGGTTTTTTCCGTCTTCATTTGTTTCCCTGGCAAGAAACCACCTCTTCTCGTGGAAGAAGGACGGTCATTTTTTTCTGGGCCTGTGTGACGTTCCCTCTGCAATGAGTTGGTTAACTGAGTGATGGCCAGGGGCGGGTTTGCCCTGTTCGCTGACTCTGCTTTCCTGTGTCGCGGTGCCTGCCGAGTCGCGAAGTCCCTCTCTGCCGAGAGTCGGGTTGGTGTTCCTTGTTGGCACCCGCCTCATTCACTTCCTGTTCACCGTAGGCACAGGTTCAGAAGACTAAAGACCTGCTCAATAACGTGGCCTCTGACGAAGCTAATTTAGAAGCCAAAATTGAGAAGAGGAAATTAGAACTGGAAAGAAATCGGAAGCGACTCCAGACTCTGCAGAGTGTCAGGTAGATGCGAACACCTGAAGGATGAGTAGACTGTCGTCTTTGAAAGTTCCAGCAGAGTGAGCGAGCGGCACACGGGCAGCGGGGACGGCCTCCTGTGGGACTGTCTCGGCCTCCCGGTGTACGGGCGACGCTCACGGTAACGAGCGCTCCGTGCAGCTCGTGCTCCCCCTGCTTTCACTGCACCCGGAGCCTCCCCTCAGGCTTCTACAGCTTCTCGGAATGCAGGGCCGAGTGAGTGAGTCCACATGGTGAATGTTGTGCGAGGCTCGTCTCCTGAGATCTGGGCCTTGCCGTAAATGAGGGGTAACAGAAGCACACTCCCCTTTCTCAGTGTGAGTAGGTTTTAGACCTTTATCATTCTTCACCGGTAATTCGTCTTTCTCTTGGCTTTCCATCACCGAAAACCTCTTTTCCAGGGAATACGTATGATAATGGGGGCGCCAAATGCCTTCTAGGTCGTTGGAGCCTTCCAAGTGCGTTTCTCACGTTTTCTTGGAGCCTGCGGGCACTCTTTCTCTTTCTCTCTCTCTCTCTCGTTTTGTACCCTCCTTTGCTTGCTGTGTCTCTTTGTCATTTTCTCTCCCGTGCCACTACTTTTTCTCCCTTTTCGTCGTCCCTTCATTTTTCTCTCTTTGCTTCTTCCTCCATGTAGCTCCTGCACCCGTTTGAATGTCTTGCCGTTTTGAGATACTGGTGACTGGGCCACAGTCTGGCTGCTGTCCTGAGACCTGAGCGAAGGCAGCGCCTGGGGTAACCCAGGGAGCACCGCAGGCTTCCTCCCAGCCATTGGGCAAGACCACGTCCTTCCACCTTTGGAATGTGGCCCACCTGATATGTTTGTCTCGTTAAAAAATTCTGCCTTTCAAGCATAAATTCATTTTTGTTAAGTCTCGTACCCTTTTTTTCCCCACATAGATTTTTAATTTTCTTAATTTTGTTTAATTTACGTCCAAATTACTTAGCATATAGTGCAACAGTGATTTCAGGAGTAGATTCCTTAATGCCCCTTACCCACTTAGCCCATCCCCCCTCCCACACCCCCTCCAATAACCCTGTGTTTGTTCTCCATATTTAAGTCTCTTATATTTTGTCCCCCTCCCTGTTTTTATATTATTTTTGCTTTCTTTCCCTTATGTTCATCTGTTTTGTATCTTAATATCCTCATATGAGTGAAGTCGTATGATATTTTTCTTTCTCTGACTAATTTCACTTAGCATAATACCCTCTAGTTCCATCCATGTAGTTGCAGATGGCAAGATTTTATTTTTTTAATTTTTTTTTTACATTTATTTATATATTTTTGAGAAAGACAGAGCACAAGTGGGGGAAGGGCAGAGAGAGTGGGACACAGCATCCAAAGCAGCCTCCAGGCTGTGAGCTGTCAGCACAGAGCCCAATGTGGGACTCGAATTCACAGACCACAAGATCATGACCTGAGCCAAAGTCAGACGCTCAGCTGACTGAGCCACCCAGGCACCCCAAGATTTCATTCTTTTTGATTGCTGAGTAATACTCCAGTGTGTGTGTGTGTGTGTGTGTGTGTGTGTGTGTGTGTGTATGTGTATATATACATACACACCACATCATCTTTATCCATTCATCCATCAATGGACATTTGGGCTCTTTCCATACCTTGGCTATTGTCAACATTGCTGCCATAAACATTGGGGTGCATGTGCCCTTTCGAAACAGCACACCTGTATCCCTTGGATAAATACCTAGTAGTGCAATTTCTGGGTCATAGCATGGTTCTATTTTTAATTTTTTGAGGAACCTCCATACTGCTTTCCCGAGTGGCTACACCAGCTTGCATTCCCACCAACAATGCAAAAGAGATCCTCTTTCTCCGCATCCTCGCCAACATCTGCTGTTGCCTGAGTTGTTAATGTTAATTCTGACAGGTGTGAGGTGGTATCTCACTGTGGTTTTGATTTGTATTTCCCTGATGATGAGCGATGTTGAGCATTTTTTCATGTGTCGGTTGGCCATCTGGATGTCTTCTTTGGAGAAGTGTCTGTTCATGTCTTTTGCCCATTTCTTCACTGGATTATTTGTTTTTTGGGTGTTGAGTTTGATAAGTTCTTTATAGATTTTGCATATAACCCTTCATCTGATATAGCGTTTGCAAATATCTTCTCCCATTCTGTTGGTTGCCTTTTAGTTTTGCTGATTGTTTCCTTCGCTATGCAGAAGCTTTTTATTTTGATGAGGTCCCAGTAGTTTATTTTTGCTTCTGTTTCCCTTGCCTCTGGACACATGTTGAGTGAGAAGTTGCTACAGCCAAGGTCAAAGAGGTTTTTACCTGCTTTCTCCTTGAGGATTTTGGTGGCTTCCTGTCTTACATTTAGGTCTTTCATCCATTTTGAGGTTATTTTTGTGTATGGTGTAAGAAAGTGGTCCAGGTTCATTCTTCTGTATGTCACTGTCCAGTTTTCCCAGCACCACTTGCTGAAGAGACTGTCTATTCCATTGGATATTCTTTCCTTCTTTGTCAGAGATTAGTTGGCCATATGTTTGTGAGCCCATTTCTGGGTTCTCTGTTCTGTTCCATTGATCTGAGTGTTTGTTCTTGTGCCAGTACCATACTGTCTTGATGATGACAGCTTTGTTATACAGTTTGAAGTCCGGGATTGTGTCCTGCTTTGGTTTTCTTTTTCAAGAAAGCTTTGGCTATTTGGGGTCTCTTCTGGTTCCATACATATTTTAGGATTTTTTGTTGTAGCTCTGTGAAGAATGCTGGTGGTATTTTGATAGGGATTGCCTTGAATATGTAGATTGCTTTTGGGTCCTATTGACATTTTAACAATATTTGTTCTTCCTATCCAGGAGCATGGAATCTTTTTCCTTTTTGTGTGTGTGCCTTCTTCAATTTCTTTCATAAGCTTTGGATAGTTTTCAATGTATAGATTTTTCACCTCTTTGGTTAGATTTCTCATATCCTTTTAATAGAAAAGTTTGTTTTTGCTCTAGTGATAATCTCTTACTTTTTAATTTATGTTTCTGTTTTGTTTTGTTTTGTTTTTTGAGAGACAGTGTGAGCAGGTCAGGGGCAGAGAGAGAGAGGAGAGAACCAGAATCCAAAGCAGGCTCCACACTGCCAGCAAGGATCCTGATGCGGGGCTTGAACCCATGAGCCGTGAGATCATGACCTGAGCTGAAGTCGAAAGCTTAACTGACTGAGCTACCCAGGCACCCCTATCTGTATATTTTTAAAACAAGAGAGGGGCGCCTGGGTGGCTCAGTCGGTTAAGCGTCCGACTTCGGCTCAGGTCATGATCTCACGGTCCGTGAGTTGGATCCCCGCGTCAGGCTCTGTGCTGACAGCTCAGAGCCTGGAGCCCGTTTCAGATTCTGTGTCTCCCTCTCTCTCTGCCCCTCCCCTGCTCATGCTCTGTCTCTGTCTCTCTCTCTCAAAAATAAATAAACATTAAAAAAAATTTTTATATATAAATAAATAATAAAAATGCATTTCTGCGACGCCTGAGTGGCTTAGTTCGTTAAGTGTCCGACTCTTGATTTCTGCTCAGGTCATGATCCCAGGGTTGTGGGATTGAGCCCCGTCTCAGGCTCTGCACTGAGCATGGAGCCTGCTGGCTGCCCCTCTCCCACCTTTTTCTCTCGCAAAACAAAGAAAAAATACATTTCTCTCTCTGTATATATATCTATGCACAGAAAAGTCTGGAAGGATGTTTATCAAATATTACGTGCTTGTACCTGGTGATAGGAGTATGAGTAATCTTTACCTTATTCTTCATACTTTAAAGATTATTTTCAAGTTTTTACAAAGAGCTTTTGATCAACAAACAAACTAAGCGTGTTGCTTTTGAGGGGAGGGAGGAGGAAAGGGAAGTGAGCTTTAAGCAGCTTCCAGATGAAGACACTTCTCCATGAAGCCTTTCCACAGCAGACCATGGTGGGGCCTGGGGCTCAGCATACTAATCTCAACTGTATGTTGATGAATCTTTCACTTTTTATTTCACTTGGTTGTTGTAGGCCGGCCTTTATGGATGAATATGAGAAGATCGAGGAGGAGTTGCAGAAGCAGTATGACATTTATCTGGAGAAATTTCGAAATCTGGCTTATCTGGAACAGCAGCTTGAAGACCATCATAGGATGGAGCAAGAGAGGTTTGAGGTGAGCGCTTAGCCCGCTCCTCTCTACAGACCGTTCCTTCTGGCGTGGGATTCTGTACTTGGTGACATGTCAGTTTGTAAATGTCGTCGTGGGGGAACATTCCCTGGATGTTCCTTCTGCCTGATCAAGTCTGCGGATCGCTCACGCAGCTCTTCTCTTTTGCTGGTGGTGTGGTCTGGACTCCAGACTGGTCGGATCTCTGATGGGTTTGGTCCATTAGGGCGGCAGACAGGGTTGCCATGTGACGTGCGCAATCGCACAAGACTTAGCTTAGGAGGGCCTGTGCTTGCTTTAATGCTGTGCCGTCACTGGTTTGGAATTCTTATTTATTTATTTATTTATTTATTTATTTATTTATTTTTAATGTTTATTTATTATTGAGAGAGACAGAGCATGAGCATGGGAGGGTCAGAGAGAGGAGACACAGAATTCAAATGAGGCTCCAGGCTCTGAGCTGTCAGCACAGAGCCCAACGCGGGGCTCAGACTCACAAACCGCGAGATCGTGACCTGAGCCGAAGTCGGACGCCCAACTGACTGAGCCACCCAGGCACCCCTGAATTCTTAATAATTCTTAAGTACATTTTAATTTGCACTGAGTTCCATGGAGTAGGTAACTGGCCTTGGGTAGATTCCTAAAAATTTGCTCAGTCAGGTCACTGAAAGATTTTCAGTCCCTGCTTAATTGAAAGTAGTTTATCAGATACTGCTTTATAAAGAGGAAACGCAGTTTATTGATTATTGTGGGAAGTGTGTGTGACCAAGCAAGCGGTCGTCCGGGTTCCTCTCATCCCATTGTTCCAGGCCATTTAGGAAATAGTGTTTCAGGTCCCAGCATGAGCTGGTAAATACGGATTTCAGAACAAAGGAGAAATGGACCAAGTTACTCTCGTGTTTTGAATTGCTACTATCCCTTGGGGATATTTCTGCTTAACCCAAGAATGGTCCCTTGGAATCCTTGTTCATGCTGAAACTGGTCTGTAACCTCCCTCTCTCATGCTGTCCTTGGCAGCTTTCGGCGTAAAGGTTATGCCACCTTCTTAAAAGCTGGGTGTTTGCGGGGCGCCTGGGTGGC